AATTTTCAGTAGTTAATTCTGTAATATAATTAATATGTAAATCTGTTGCCATTACAAGAAAGCATCTATAGTAAGTGAAAATTTATTTGATGTATTTAGGCCTACTACACGTTCAAATGGAGCCTTTTGACAGAGCAACAGTTTTAACTTATTCAGTTATATTAAAAAAGTTACAATTAATTATGTTTGTGTTTTGATGTGTGTGTGCAGTCTGCAGAGTTTACTTACAAACGTTTCAAACTATTTCAGATACAGTAGTAAACTCAGTTAATTATTCAGTTTGACATGAACAATTGGAATGTGTGTCTGATTGTATTCAAACAATTTTTTGTAGCGCCAACAAAGACATTTGTTGTGAATTGGCTTAAATTGATTTTAATCAAAAACAGAAAATAAATGATCAACAATATTTTCTGCTCTTAATTACTTTACAATTTATGTTTGAACTGAGATACTAGCCAGTGTTCAAACTAAAAATGGCTTGTTTTTCTCTTGTCTGTCACCATTACCATTTACTGGTTAGAGCGCCACCACAAGGCAGAACCCAGACTCTATTGAAGTCATGTCATTTTATGCAATAACACACAAAACTGAAATCATTTATAATTTAGTCTGAGCAAAACATTGTCGATTTACCTTTATCCTGGCATTTTTTCTGCTTTTCTTTTTCCACTTATTCCACTGAGTAATACTAGGAATGCAATCAGGGAAAATATTATAATGATTCTTTCTTGCTGCTTGAGATCTGTAAAAACTAAAACACTTTTTATTTTCTATCCTTTTTTCCTCAGCTCGTTTTTATCCATGATTGAGTCTACAAAAAAAAAGTGCCTAAATTATTGGCTAAAACATCAATAAATACAAAACAATCACTATAATTCAGACAAAATAGATGTCAAGCTTTTAATTAAATGAAAATGGAAAATATTAAAATAATTAAGCATTTTCTACAAGTTAATCAAACAGCAACTTTATCAATTATAATAATGACATTCAATTGTAATATTAAAAAAAGATTCAGAAAGCTTTTAATTGCTTTGCTGATTTTTGAGGGCTGTATATTTACTGAACACAAAACATTTTATGAGTCATATATTTATTACATCCAGTTTTATACCATCCTGCTTCTAAACAGCTTTGCTTTGTGTTTCCTTATTATAAATATGGACCTAGATAAGATAATGAAAAGATACTTAAATTAGGATATATCAATATGTTGCATAAAGTGCTCCACTAAATGGTTCTACTGTTTAATTATAGTTTAAATTTTAAAAACATCAATTTCAGAAGTTTTTATTTTTTGGCTTCTTTCATTATTATTTTTGAAGCTTGTGTTTCCTCTAATATTTAAGTTTGCACATCCTAAATGTCATTTTTATTTGGAATAATCTAGATGCACACTGACAGCAGCTTGTGAAAGATTTATAGAAAACTTGACATGTTAACAGGACCTTCAGTCAAATTCTAACATTTTCTAAAAATAACAGTAATACTGTTAAAAATTAACGTCACATTCAACTTGGATTTTATTAAGTATGTTTTCTAGTGGAAAATAAGTTGATATTGAAACAGAAAGAAAATCTTTGTCACTGCAGATATAAATAAGCAATTAAAATAAAAATTGTACGACATCACATGGGGTGCAATGTTCCTAAGTTAAACAATATATACAATAATGTATTGTTAATCAAATATCCTATTTCTCTAGACCAGTGATTCCCCTCCCCCCCTCCAAGTTAATATATTTCCGACTTCCCTGCATCGTTTTGTAAAACACGTACGGTCTACTAAATAGTAAATGACACAGAGAAAACAAATAATCCCTTAAATCTGCTTTTTTTTCTAAATCAACTGCCTAAACGTTAAATATGTGTTTGGGACATTTTTTAAGCTAATTGTTTGGTTATTAGTCTACACATTAAACCAGAACTTTACTAGATTTGTACATTGTCACATGTATAATAATTTAACCCATTCAAATTAAACAAGATAAAAGTAAAAATATGTTTCTAACTTACCAGCTGCAGCGCTGTGGATTCCCACGAGAAGCAAAAACACAAACTTCATCATCTTGACCATCGAACTGCGGTCCAACTCAGTTGTCCACATTTACAGACTGAGAGCATTTCGCTCATCTAGAATCTAAAAGGGGCGTCAACATGAATCTGAACCAATGACAAAAAACATCTGTCTGTAACGTCACCTAAATCCAGGTTAAATTTCCCTGGAGGGGTTGTCATCGAAACTGAAACTATTTCTGCGTTTTGTATCAGGTGGTGACCTCAGACACTGACGCGTTTTGATGGCATTCAGCTCCTTAGAGAGATTTTCATGTCTCTCCTAGTATTGGCGGATTTTACTGCTAATTATTTCTAACACTGATAGGACTTTAAGTTGCATTTTAGTCTCAGTTTCCTGGTAAAACAAGAAAGAATGAATTTCTAGTTGTATTTGTTGAGTTAGAATGTTTTAATTATTAGACGTCTAACTTTAATATTTGGCCTATTAAATAATGAATAATTATCACCGCGTTCATTTATGAGTACAGTACGTTTCTGTGGTGAAGTGCGCCCTCTAGTGGTTTTTACACACCACACATTTAGACTGAGGTTCTAAAAAGTTTTTTTTCTTCGTTTTTAGAGTTCAAACTCAAAAATATAGGCGACAATACGAGTTTACAATAAAGCACTTAAAAAACGGGCTTGGTCTTACAACATAAATGTTGAATATTAATTTGGAACCAGGATCCGTAAAACCAAATGAAGGAAACATTTCACACTGAATAAAGCTTTTGCTTCACTTAACTGACTTTATAATTTTTCTATCATTTAATCTTTATTCATCCACAATACCTTACATTTCACAGTAAACTTTATAAAATATGAATTAAAGTCATTCACTTCAGTGTATTTATACCTCCAGATTACCAAATAAAACAGAAAAAAAATCAAAAATCTAAATATGTCTAAGTACATATTAAATACATATCAATTATGTCTCATTAAGCTCACTTTTTTGGGAAAAATATAATTGTGAAAGATTCTATAAGCAGCTAATTTAATATTTATGTAGAGCAGTGGATGGGTTTTATCCAAAATAGAAGCATATTGCTCTGCCACACCAAGTACATTGTATGTAAAATGAGCTCTGACAAGTTTATGAAGATTAGAATGTTGTGTGGAGCAGAATTTCACAGAANACAAATGGATGTCTGAAAGCCTTTAATTGTGTTTGTTATGAAGATGTTTAACTTACAGGTAATGAAAATATGACATTTAAATTAGAATATACGTCAGACCAATAAAAAATGTTTTTAACAGAAGTGTAGCCTTAATGAAAAGTATGTTGAATACCATTTAAAAGATTTTAAACTTTTAAATAGCACCTTTAATCTGACAAATGAACCTCACTGGTACGCATATCTAGATTTTTGGCGATATTTATAAAGGATAATGCAGAGGATTAGAGGTTTGGTTAGTGATGAGAAACAAAAGTAACTTTTTAAAAATTATTTTACGAAGACTTTATTTGCCTGTGGAAGTGCTGCCCTAAAGATAAAAAAAAAAAAAAAAGTGACCAACTGTAATCTGCTTGCAGATCAGATTTGCTCCATTGTGTTCCCTTGGTCATCCCTGGTCTAAAACATACAGCCAGAGCAAATCAAGGCTAAGCTAAACCAAATACCAAGACTGCCTGCTGCAGGGAGAGGCCACAGGTTTAAGGAGAAGCAGCATGGTTTACTGTCGGGAGCGCTTGACTCCAAACCAGGAGCGTAACAAGAAATTCACGAAAATCTGGCCTATTCAAAACCTGTAAAGGGGGCTAGTTTGCTTTGGACAATTATTATTATTATTATTATTATTATTATTATTATTATTATTATTATTATTATTATTATTAAAGCTTAGGGTGAATGTATGAATGAAGGGGCCAAAAGGAGCATGTTGGGGATCAGGAAGGGATTTAAGCGCAGAACAACATGGTCTTTGTGTTGCTTTTAATCCGGCCTGTACCCACTTCTCCGCCTCTTGATAACTCTACCCTGGCTCTCTGGCAGTGGTTGCCCAATTATTTCAGGAGGTTAATTTAAAAATGGCCGTTATTTAAAACAAACAAACATAAAACAACAGCTCAGATAGATACGCAAGCTTTCTTCAAACTTTATTCTTTCAAATGTCATTATTTGGTTTTAACTGTTCACTATTATCCGTTTGTTTTTTTGTGTAAACTGTTGAGCATATCAACAAGTGTGTGTGTGTGCGTGTGTGTGTGGCTTAAAATATTGTTTTATTTTAAATGTAAATTTAATATGTCAAATAAAGATAGCTTACAACGAGAAAGGATGCGCAACAATTCATAAAGTAAAACAAAGAATAACCAAACTGAACCCGCAACGTGACCGAATGAGTTTGCGTAAGAGAGAGAGAGAGAACGAGAGAGAGAGAGAGAGAGAGAGAGAGGGAAGGAGGAGAGGGAAGGGGGGAGGGCTCTGTGCGTCTACTTGGTTAAGAAGTTTCTTCTAATTAGCCAGTCTCTTCTTGCTCGCCTCACTTGTCCACCCTGCAGCGCATCCTCCTACTCCTGTCAGGGACCGGGAACCGCGTCGGGCCCCTGATCAGCACCGCGGAGAGACAGGCAAACATTTTCAGAGCAACTTCTTTTCCTGATGCGCACTACCTTTACTCACGAAGTTTTAGGGAGAAAAATAGGTGCGCGGGTTTATTTCAGACAATTTGGTCATTTGTTGATTTAAACAGGTTTTTTTGTTGTTTGTTTGTTTGTATGTGTTTTTTTTTTTCGTTGTCATTTTAAAAAAAAATCAGAGCTAAAGGGTCAGAGAGCGATTCCGGTCCGCTGCGCTTTTACGCATCAGGTGAGAACAGGTGCACTGCTGCAGAAAGTTAGGAACGCAAAAGGCAAGGGCAGAAAATAGTAAAAAAAAAATAAATCTGAAAAACAGAAGAAAAAGAAAAACAGAGAGGGACAGACAGGATAGAGAGAGAAAGAGAGAGAGAGAGGGAGAGAGAGAGAGAGAGAGAGAGAGAGAGAGAGAGAGAGAGAGAGAGAGAGACCCCCTGGAGAATTGGAGAATAGTTCAGAGAGCCGGCCCCCGGCCCAAGAGAAGGAGAGAGAGTGAGGGAGTGAGGGAGTGTTTTAAAGCCGGCAGGAGGCATGATGTCCTACATTAAGCAGCCCCATTACGCCGTGAACGGGTTAACGCTGTCCAGCCCGGGCATGGATCTGCTACACACCGCAGCCGTGGGATACCCCAGTAAGTAAAAAGTTTTTTTTCTCTCTCTCTTTTCTATTAATTGAATGTTTTCCTGTTGTCTATTTCATCCCTCTAATTTACTCTCTCAGTTGATACACACGTGCAAGCCTGTGAAAATGAACTTGCAAATCAATTGTGCGTAAATCTTTTCTTCAGTTTTCACACTCCGTTTAATGTGCCTGATTCCTCGGGCATCAGGAACATGTGCTCACTTGATCTGTCAGTTCAGAGGATTACAGAGTCAAAAAAGAAAAACAAAACAATGAAACTGTGTGTGAATGACAATGCAGCCTGTTCTCACACCGAATTAAAACAAACTCCAATCTGCTACGCTAATCATCTAACCTACTTCCTGAAAACACTCTCATTGTGTGTTTTTAGTTATCCACATTTTTTTTAACTCAGTGGGTTAACGCGCTTATTGTTTTTTGATGCGCTGCGAACATCTGTCATCTCCACACAATAATTCAAATAAAACAGGGATATCCGGCGCCGATTGGAGAAGCTTTCAAACAAAAATCAGAAAGAAGAAAATAGAGCAATTTAGACTATAAGTATATAGTTTGTGTAAAAGGGGGCATTTTTCAAACGACCTTTTTTTCGAGAAGATAAAAAATACAATAACAAGAATAATATAAATAATTATCGAAACACTTCTCTCGTGAAGAGTCAGTAGGAAAAAAATCGAAATAATGAAGAAAAGAGAAATTAGAATAATAGTAATAAAAAATCAACTCTCTCTTAAACTCTAAACTATTAAAGTATTCTGGACAATTAAATGAAATTTCATTAAACGCGAAAGCCAGAAAAAACCCACAAATAATAATAATAATAATAATAATAATAATAATAATAATAATAATAATAATAATAATAATGAAAAGAAAAAACAGCTGAATCGATTTTTACTTGCAATGGATTCATGACGATTTCATTGAAACGTTTTTTTTCCCCAGGTATACCTATATGACATATTATGTTATGTTTCGTAGTGTTATAAAACGATCAAATGTAACATATTTTGTGACTTACAAAATATGTTGCGCATCTTTTCTACAAAATTTAAGTAAAATAACTAAACCAAAAACAACAGCAGCAGCAGCAGCAGCAACAACAACAACAACAACAACAACAACAATAATAATAATAATAATAATAATAATAATAATAATAATAATAATAATATTTTTTTTTTCTAGGTACGCCACGAAAGCAGCGTCGGGAACGCACCACCTTTACGCGTGCGCAGCTGGACATCCTGGAGGCTCTGTTTGCCAAAACGCGATACCCAGACATCTTCATGAGGGAGGAGGTGGCTCTCAAGATCAACCTGCCTGAGTCTAGAGTTCAGGTATCGTCACTGGACAATTTAGGCCAACATGTGGAAACGTTTCTCACATTTTTGTGAATCCTCTCCTTTTATTTATTTATTTATTTATTGATTGATTGATTGATTGATTGATTGATTGATTGATTGATCACTCTGATTCACTTTGGTGCTCTGCAGGTCTGGTTTAAAAACCGCCGTGCCAAATGCCGCCAGCAGCAGCAGCAGAGCACCGGCCAATCCAAACCCAGGCCTCCTAAGAAGAAGGCTTCGCCGACCAGAGAGGCGCCCACGGAGGCCAGTGCCAACCCAACCAATGGACCCTACAGCCCTCCGCCCCCTCCTCCAGGCACAGCCATCACCCCCAGCTCCAGCTCCGCCAGTGCCACCGTCTCCATCTGGAGCCCGGCCTCCATCTCCCCGCTGCCGGACCCGCTGTCAGCCTCCACCACCCCCTGCATGCAGCGCACCACCACCTACCCCATGACCTACACCCAGGCCCCGGCCTACAGCCAGAGCTACGCCGGCTCCTCCTCTTACTTCACCGGCCTGGACTGCAGCTCCTACCTGTCCCCCATGCACCCGCAGCTGTCGGGCACCGGAGGGGCCCTGAGCCCCATCACGGCCTCCTCGATGGGAGGGCCCCTCAGCCAGTCGCCCGCCTCGCTGTCCTCGCAGGGCTACACAGCCGCCTCGCTGGGCTTCGGAGCCGTCGACTGTCTAGACTACAAAGACCAAGCTGCCTGGAAGCTTAATTTCAATGCCGCTGACTGTCTGGACTACAAAGACCAGAATTCCTGGAAGTTCCAGGTCTTGTAAATAACAGCGGGTTGAAACAGCTGGGGGCAAGGGGGAGGATGAAAATAGGTGGGGAATCAAAAAAAAATGAAGTAGTGTGAATAAGCCCCATATTACTGTTGGTGTTTTAGTAGAAGACAGAAAGCTGGGGACACAGAGACATTAGTGACGTCAGCTGAGGGACCAATCAACTAAATGTTACAGAAAGGAGAATAAAAGAAGTGTGGAAGTTGATCTGTTAATGCTTGAGTTTTTTTTTTCTTTCTTGGACTATTGGGTTTCTATGTTTGTTTTTAAGAAACATAAATGTCAGCCTTCAACTGAGGCCACGTGTAAGGAACACAAGACTTATGTTGTATAGCTACAATAAAATCTAATTAGTAATCTAATTATCAGGCGTTGATTAATAATAATAATAAAATAATAATAAAAAAAGAAGCAATCTGTTCAACTGGTTGTTGATGTAATCTGAAATCAGCACCTCTAATGGAAACAAACCCGAAGCAGATCTAGACTTTCTTTTTTTTAACCTATCAAAATCTGTTCCTCCATTTAACTTTTAATTTATCCGCCTGATTAACAATCTAAGAACTGTGACTTGGTCAGGAAAAGAGCTGAGGGGTTGTCATAGTTACGACGGCTAACAGGATAGCAAACTAGTCCAGAAACAAGAGGGGACATAAATGTTTCCAATCAGCCTTTTGGGAAGACTTGGCCCCTCCAGAGACCGCAGTACAAACCTGGACATTGTTTGTTCAATAGGATCACTTCCACGCAGGGTGGGCAGCAGCAGCCACACTGTGGTGCCCACTCCCCTCACGTCAGCTGCCTGAGAGAAGCAGTTCTTGAATTTGCTGCTCTGGTGGACTGCTTGACCGGAGAGGAAACCGCACCAGAGAAAAGGAAGGGGCAGCCTGTCTCTTTTGCACAGAGCGTCCGGTGCCTCGCTCCACTCCGACTTGTAAAGAAGTGACACCACATTTTTGTGTGTGTTCAATTTTTTTGTTTGTTTGTTTGATTATTTCTTTGTATTAGACTTTAACAATACCGTTTCTTTAAAAAAAAATAAAAAAATTGTGAACTTGTTGAAGTAAAAAAAAAAGAAAAAAAAATAACAAAAAAATGGTAATTTGTTCAGTATTATCAGTATTAATACTATCATCGTTGCTACTACGTCTTCAGCCGACATGGATGTTGCTAATAAAGGTATTTTTCTGTTGCTGTTTTGTAAATATTAAAACTTGAAAATGCAATCTCGTCTGGTGTCACTCAGCAGGCTCTGTCTCTCTCTTCGTCATCCTTAAAATCTAGAAAAATGCCAACTTTTTACTGTTCATGTTTCTCTTGTTTATACTTCTTTTTTTCTCTTTTCAAACTCAGGGGTTCATCCAATAAAAGTAGCACTGATGACACACAATGTTATTCACGCTTCTTGATCATTTTCTGTATTCTGTTCTTTTGCATTGTAGTCTTCTCTGCCTATATTTTTCTGCCATGGATTATTTTGTACCTTGCATTTGTCTCCTGTGTTTGAGCGTTTTCACCATTACCTAGATAGTGCTGATGTTTCAGATGAGACATTAAATGACTTAATTAAAGCTCTGGGTTCACTGTTGTCTCTGAATCACTAGACGAAGCACCATTTTTCCAGTAGACCAACAAAAACTGTGCGTAATTAAGAAGTTGTGATTTATAGAACTAGATATTTTGGAGTTTGTCTCTATCAAGGTTAAACATCTAGAGGACAAATTTTGAACCTATTTGTTCTTGCAAAACAGTCATATAAAAAGACTTTTATCAGAGGTTTACTGCTCTCTCATGAGGTTAAAGAAGTTCATCGTTACTAAGTTCTTATACCAATTAATTCAATAATTAGAACTACTTTCATTAGTGTAAAAGTGAGAGTTTGGAAAAGAAAAGAGTCTAAGGGTCTTGGTTCAGGTTCAGTTCTTCTCTAACTGATTGGCATTGAAGTTGTGTTGGATGAACAAAGCAAAACCTTTTTTAATTTTTTTTATTTTACTTTACTGAACGTGCCAAGTTACAACAAAATTACAACAATGCAATAACAATAAACATTCAAAGCAACTTCTCCAGCAACACCACAAAATGACCTTATCTTGTTTATATATATTATAAAAGTACACCTTCATTCTTCATTCTTCTACTTCCTGATTCTTGATTAGTGCAGTACACTCATTGATATATTAGTAATAGCTCCAGCAGTATTAACTACAAAATATTTTTAATGTTGATGCCAACAATAATGTAACAACAAAAACATGATACATCAAGAAAAGTTTCTCATTTTTAGTGTAAACCATTTCCTTATACAAACGTTTGAATTGTTTAATGTTTGTCAAACTGTTCCATAGTTTCACACCACAGACTGAAACGCAAAAGCGCCTTCTTGTGGTTCTGATCTTACAAAGTATGAATTTGCATTTTCCTCTGAGATTATAAAATCCTTCTGTTTTTGAAAACAATTCTTGAATATTTTCTTGTAACTGTTCATTTTGTGCTTTAAAAAAAGACACAGACTGTTTGTAAATTCACCAAATCAGTAAGTTTTAGTAATCTAGAATGTATAAATAATGGATATGTGTGATCCAGGTTTGTGTGATTAATAATTCTTATTGCTGCATTTTGCAGCTTAATTAGTGGTTGTAATGGATTTTCATACTTATTGTTGCATACCTCTGCACAGTAACTGAGGTAGGGTTAAACTAGAGAGCAACATAGAATATGTAATACTTTCTGTTCAACCAATTGCTTGGCTTTATTCAATATAAACATACTCTTTGATATTTTATTTTTTTATATGAAATATGCGTTTTCCAATTAACCTTGTCATCGGCAATCACTCCAAGAAATTTGTGTTCCTGAACTCTTTCAATAGTTACACCATTCATCTCTGCTTTTGTTTCAGAACTTTGTTTGCAATTCCCAAATAACATAATTTTAATTTTAATACATTTTAGCGACAACTTGTTACCATCAAACCACATCTTCAGTTTGTTCATTTCTTTGTTTAAACTTTTTAACACTTCTTCTGCAAGTCTTCCAACAAAAATGTCGTACACCTAATGAGTTTGACACTCGTGTCATACACATGATGAATATACTTTTGCAAGGGATTGTACAAGGCAGCATTTTCTTGTGATTTGTCTGATATTTGTTGTGGCACGGTGAGAGCAGCTTTTTTAATCCACAGAAGAGTTTCAACGGGTATAAGGCAGAAATGGGAGGAAACAGGGCAGAATAAAGATTAGAAGTGGCCATTAAACCGAGTCCCATCACTCTGCCGGGCCCAAACTAAAGTTCGAGGGACGGGCAGATTACTTTGGATTTCTGGCTGTGTTTTCATGCCACTGAAAGGTCGGGGGGGTCACCTCCACTGGGGTTATGAGAAGTGGACTGCATGGACAGTTTTAAGCGTGCTATTAGCTCATGTGTGTTCAGATGATATCTTGCACAAGCGCAGCGGGTCTTGTATCGCAACACAATGCTCTTAGCAGAGGAACGTATTTAAGCTGTATTACAATAACGTTGAAAGGTTCACCTCTGACCTCTGTGTCTGAGTGAATGTGAAAAGGTAGAACAATAAACTGAGCTTGTCACATTATTAAAGGGGAGATATTATCCAAAATCAACTTTTTTTTTTTGAGATTTACATTATGTTATAATGTTATTCCCTGATCAAAAACAAAAACATACATAGAGTAAGTTAATTAATATATTACTTTAATTAAAATGGCTGTGTGTGTGTGTGTGTGTGTGTGTGTGTGTGTGTGTGTGTGGGGGGGGGGGCGGGGGGGGGGGGTTCAGTATAGCTGCTTTGTGTTGTTCATGGTTACAGTCATTGTAAAGTGAACACCCTCTTTCAATATTTGGCGCTTTCATATCAGAGTATAACTAAATCCACAACACACACTTTCTAACTCTCTTTACATGTAGCTATATATATATAACAACTAAATATTGAACTATAGCTCTCTTTTCTGCTTGAAATGCTTTGTATGCTCATGTTTCACTAATAAATACTTACGGATTAAAGATAAAAGCACAGTTTAATTAATAGGTACTTTATTACATACATACATTTGCACTTACATATATTTTTTACATGCCCTCACTAGCTTTCCAAGTGTGACTTGCATGGAATTAATCTTTGAGACAATGGTGTCCAAAATGAGGCCAGGGGGCCATTTGTGGCCTTTGGAACAATTTTTTGTGGCCCTCCGATTGTAGTTAATGAAAGGTACAACTTTGGCCCTTCAGTGATCACTTGTATAATTTTTTTTAGCATGAGAATTTCCGTGACAAATTTAATTCTTCTCTAATGGAAATATTTTTCTTTAAATAGAAATGTTTTCATTTAACTTTATAGTAAGCATGGCTGTAAAGATCCACCAACTTTAAAAAAACAAAAACAAAAATAAAACAAAACTTGAGCACAATTAAAGTCGATTAAATCTGGTTAATAGAAGAAGGATCATTTTAAGAAAGTTCTCAGTTTTGGTTCTGGGATTTTAGAGCAAATAAACTGAAGAAAATCTACCCAAAGACTTAGGAAACTGTCTGCCTTTTATTAATACAAAAAAATGCCACTTTGTTTCATTGAAATATCGCTTGATTATTTTATTGCTGAAACAATTCACAACAAAATTCTTTTGTGTTTTACGTTGGAATAGCAATGTGATTTTCAACTTTGGGATTCTGGCACGTACTTGGTCACCGCCGCTTTAAGAACATTGCAGACTCCTTAAGAGGATACAGGAGGTCTCTAAAAAGTGATTTTATGGACCACACAAGGTGACACGGTGTAACAAAATTAAACTAAACTGCAAACATAGGCTTAATCGTCGCTTAATTGTGGGACACAAACAGCTGTTTATAATGGCTTACAATGGACCTTTAGACATCATTCAGCCTGATGGCATAAAGCTGAGCTCAGCATCCTTCCATAAATGGACGGACGGACGGACGGATGGATGGACAAATGAATAGATGAATGGATGGACAGACAGACGAAGACAGTGTCCTCCTGTAATCCCCAGCAGCAGCAGCAGCAGCAGCATATGGA